TGTGTGTGTGTGTGTGTGTGTGTGTGTGTGTGTGTGTGTGTGTGTGTGTGAGCTCTCACAAGCCCCTTTCTGTGCTCTGCTGCTGTTACATAAACCCTGCAGACTCTGCAGGTTTTTGTTTCCCTCAGTGTTCAGCTGTGATGAGCAGATCTGCATCCTCAGCCTCATCATGACAGCCAGTTTAAGCATCTATTTCTTGACTGGAAAATAAACAAAACATGTTAATTCAGGTTGTAAGAGTCACAGAGTTTCTTCACTCATGTGACATCATGTCGGGGACTGTCTGTAAAATGAGAAATGACATGATTCTCTGAGCTGTGAAACCTGATTTCAAGTATAACTCCAGTGTGTGAACGAGGAGAAAGGAGAGCGCTTCATTCTAAGGAAGCTCTTTGATCGTGACACACACAGTGAAAGTGGTGCTTTGCAGAGAGCTTAACAAGCTCATTAATGTGTGTGTGTGGGTGTGTGCATGCTGTGTATTTGCTGCCATTGGCTGCTTTACTGTGTGGAGGAGGATTTGGCTTTAAAGCACCAAAGAAGTACCTTTTCTTTAAATGTCTTTGATTCGAAGAGGCCATACTGATAAAAATAGAAGGTTCAAACATACATTTTGCATGTCGACAGCTGGGAGCAAATGAGTTCACTGTTCATTGCCAACTGAGTTTATTAGCAAAATGTACAAATTTCCAGCTGTTTGCAAAAACTAGATCACAGCAGGACAGTTAAATGTTACAAGAGACGTCAACATCATCTGTTTTTAATGTTTTCGGTTGCAAAATCATTCAGCATCCCCCCTGCCAGAGGGAATTCACTGTCAGTTCACACATTTATAAATGACTGTGCAGACTTTTATAACTCCTCTGTAAATAAACTTTCACCAGAGTTTCAGCGTCTGTTGATTAAGGCCTACATTTATTATACATCTGATTATATATCAGCAAAATGACAAAGCAACTCATCACAAAGTTAAGAGATAGCTATCAAACAAGAGCCACACATACCAGTGTGTTTGCTAGAGTTAGACCACTGCTGACGCAAAAGAACCAGACAACTATTCTCAGAACGATCTGAATGAAAGATGCCTTCTATTTTAGCTGAATGAGGTATTTAAACCCCTCTTGTGTAATTTTAATATTACGCACAAATAAATAATTTTGTAATAATTGTTCATCAGTACACAGCTGATGCGAGCGAGACTGTGTAAGGAGGTGGGGGGTTGTTGGAGGACTTTATATAAAACAAAGGGAGATGCACAGAAATGAAGAGATGAGTATAAACCTCTTGAATGATGCTTTTGTCTTACTGTTGCTCTCTGCCAAGTGAATCGTGCAGACAGCCCTTCTGGTCCTGTGATTCTGGGGTTTAAACAGCATCTTTGATGGGCACAATAAGAGGCCGGTACAGCAGTGGCCCCTCTGCTCGGGAAACAGACTCTGCCGCACTCACAATCTGTGCAAATAGTTTGTGAACAGGCTCATTTGGGGGAGCACAGACCTGAATGTGAAGCAAATCCCAAACAGTAACAAGCAAACACTGTCACTGGAAACACTGAGAGAATGTTAATTAATGCTATTAGAAATCTATGGGAGACTTCAATATTAGCAAATTCAAAGTATAACTTCCATTTCAACCCTTGTTTTCTGAATAAAGTCAACAAACCTTTTAAGGAGTTTCTTGCAATGCCAGTAATTGCTGTCCTCTGAGAAGGATTTTAATCTCAGAGAATGTATTTGTTAGAAAAATCCAATGTAATCTGTTTGCAGGATTCAGCTGTAGATGCAGTTTGCTCTCATTTGGTGATTCTTTTTCTGTTACTCTTAAAAATAGATATCCATTTTCTATTATCTATTTTCTTCTGCTTGTCCAAATTTGGGTTACCAAGTCAGCAGGATAAGCTGGTATTCCAGGCGAATAGTGCATTTAAGTGGTAATTCTGTCTGAGTGTCAGAGTCAAACATCAAAGGTACCCATTAGGACTGGGCCATATCATACTGTTCACAGTAATACCGGTATAATGTTAGGCAATGATAAGAAAATGAAATATCGCGATAGAATATGGGTCAAAAGCGCATGCGCAGTGCCTTTGTTTTCATACGCACGTGGCAGAAAAAGCATGGCGGCGACGGAGAACGAGAAGGGCGAAAGCGGATTGTTGAATGAAACGATGAACCAGAATTGGTTTGTAAAAATGGTGCAACTTCAGTGGTGTGGAACTGGTTTGGCTTTCGTCAAATACACACCAAAGTACAATTTTTGGTAGAGCATGCAAGCGGACCATCGTTATTACCGTGTTTTTCGGAAAATAAGTCGCTCTTAAAATCCTTTTATTTTCTGAAAAATTGACAGTGCCCCTTATAATCTGGTGCGCCTTATGTATGAATTCTGGTTGTGCTTACTGACCTCAAACTTTTTATGTCTTACACAGCGCTCAAAAATCTGTAAAAAAAAAATGTTTTAGCACGACTTTGATAAGCTACAAAGCCGCACCGCTTGATGGATTGTCAAAGCATTACGGCTTCCGTAGTCAGGAGCCTCGCCGAGTGATACGTACTGTTGTTCAACATAGTATTACCGTATTGTGTGTGTATAACCTCTTTTTAAGTTTTGTAGATATATTACACATGGTTATAGTTCAGGATATGTCGGCCAGTTTCCACTGGAAATGCCTTTTGGTTAAACTGGCAGCAAGGAATTTGCATAAAAAACAGCTGTTTGTTTAAGTGAAAATACATTGATGGGTTTTTTGTTTGTTTTTGTTTTTTTTGCACTAATAAAGTTGTGGAGTTGTAAAGTATTTTGTCTCACGTCAGTTATATCATTATAGCAAATTTTCAAATATATATCGTGATAAATATTTTTGGCCATATTGCCCTGCCCTAGTACCCATCGGTGGTCATGGATGTCCATAAAACATATGACCAAATTTGCTTCTGCACATTAAACTGTAGTGCTGGTAGTCCGAATCAGGTCATGAAACCTGCTCCGTTTCTCTTGATTCTACCTGCCAGTCATCATTTAAGTATTTGCT